ATAATTTTTTTTCATGATCAATTTTTTTATAATTTTCTTTGCGGAGTGAGACTTTGACAGTTGACCACTTTTTGATTTAATGGGAAAATTACTTGATGGATCCTTATAATTTCCTTGAGTTTTTAAGTCAGTCCCTATACTTTAAAAACCAGTAACTTAGCGAATTGCATGTGATGCTTATCACATCCATTTTAGTTCAAATTGATCCCTGTCGTTTATTTAAATTGATTTTTAAATATTTTTAATATTATATTTATTCATATAAAAATGTAAAAAAAATTTATAATTTTACAATTTGACTGTCCAGATAAACTCTGGATAGTTCAAATATAATTTAGATGATCTAATTTAATATTAAAAAATTTATAAATTTTACAAATTAATCATTTAAATGTATTCTAAATGGTTTAGATTTAATACTAAAATTTTTTATATTATTTATTTTAATAAATATAATGTTAAAAATATTTAAAAATTAATTTAAATGGATGGCAAGAATCAATTTGGGTTGAAATGAAGGGCCACGATGAGCATTCGATGCTTATCACAGTGATGAGCACCAAATGCAAATGTGTAACTTATCTCGTAGCTCATTATTGTGTCACTAATTATATCCAAATCCACAAATCAAACCCATCTCAACAGCAAATTGATTTCATTTTCAATCTTTAAAAATGTTGATTTGTTACCATTAACTTTTATTGTTTCAGCCCCTTTGCTTTAAAGACCAATAACTCAGTCCTGAACACGTTAATATCACTAAAAAAAAATTAACTTTTGTCACTGTTGAAAGTTGAAACATTCATGTTACAGTGAGAGCTTTTGTCACTAATTCTATCTGCGACAACGATAAAAGTTGCCATTGAAAATATTAAATCAATGGTGACAAATGTCACCATAGAAAATTTGTCGCTATGAAAAGTTAGTCACTACTTAAAGTTAAGAATCGACGGTGACAAATATACCGAAAAAACTACACATCAGTGGCAACTATTTAGTTGTCGCTAAATGTTGAGTATTAATGTCGCCACAAAAACTACGAAACCAAAAAGTGATGTTAGTTTACCTAATCATGTGGCACCATGTTGCCCTCCCACTCCTATGTGGCGCCACATTATCTGTCACATGGCACCATATCACCTTTCACATGTCACCTATGTCACCCTCCACGTGACTTTACATTACTGCCATGTGTCACAGTATCACTAATTTATATTTTCATTTCACAAATTGCCTCCTTCATGGTTCAAACTCATGAAATCCTTCTTTTATATCCCATCATTTTGGTATTGAGCTGCAATAAATTTGCAGTCTATTACTGCAAAATCAAATATATATTATTAAACTAAACAAACACACATATATCTTAAATATTAAATATTATTTCTATCATTAAATGATTCAATTTAATTCTTTTGATTTATTAAAATTACTAATTATATTTTTTACTTCTTGATGTTATTATATTATTTATTTTAATATTCATTATAATATAACAATATCTAAGAATTTAAAAAATAAAAATATTTATTTTTCATTAAAATAATAAGTATTGATTATACATTAAATCATAATTACTGATTTTTCTTGCTTGTTTTAATTAAAATTTTATTTTTACTTTTAATGAACAATAATTTTTAAGTAATGTAATTGTCTTTTTTTTTAACATTACATTTTACTTTTTTAATTAGTTTTCATTTTTAAATAATAATTTTATAAGAAATCATACACTCAATTATCTTTTTTTTTATATTTATGTAATAAGATAGCATAAAAAAATCATACAACATCGCATACATAGATATATTTCTTGTATTGTAAAAATTAAAAGTAAAATTTTAGAATATCTCATTTCTCTTCTTTTCATCTTTCTCCTCCCTGTCATTAGCCATTAAATTGAGAACATCTAAACCAGCATCAAGCTTCCAAGTTGCTGGTATTAAATGTAAAATTTAAATTAAAAAATTAAATTAGATGAAATATCATTCTATAAATGAATAAATTTAACTGTCACGTATCTAATTATTATAAATAAGTAATATTATTATTTAAAATATCAAGTTAATCACAAAACATTTGAAACTAGAGACTTATTACCACATTATATACATTCCAAATTAAAATATCAAACAATAGGCTTTTGAATGAATTTATTATTTCACATAGGGGTATGTATTTAGACAATTAATTAGATTTAGTATTAATTGAACAATACCAATGAACCAAACTGATCTAAATAGTTGGATTGAATCAATTCAAACATTACTTGATAGCAAAAATTGACCTAAAATGATACGATTTGGCTTCGTTCTTTAATATGGCTCATTAGCATTAAATAATACCTTAACCTTATCTAAAAATAATTTTATTATTTTAAATTATTTTAAAGTATCAATTTAACATAAAATATATTAAATAAAAACTCATTATGTAATTTTATATATTCATCATAAAATTACAATAATACAAAAAAATTAATTTTTAAAATGTTAAATATTAGATCAAACAAATAAAAAATTACGATAATAATATCTAGTTATAATTAATAGTTATAAAAGTTAAACTTTCAATGACAACATTCAAAGTCATAATCAAAAGTTACACTTTCTATAACAACCCTAAAAAGCCGTCACTGATTGTAAACTTTTAACAATGATTTATATATTGCTGCTAAAACTTAGACTTTCGATAGCAACATGCACCTATTGCCACTGAAAGTTTAACAATCAATGGCAACTTTATATTGTCGCCACAAAAAGTCATACTTTTAGCGGTGACTTTTCATATCATTGTAGAAGGTCAAACTTTCAATGGTAACTTTATTGTCACCGCAAATCGTTCATTTTTAGCAATAACTTTTTGGAATCGTCACTGAAAGTCATCGCTAAAGTCTTTTTTTTAATTGTCACTTATATTTTCCTTGAAGAACTTCACAAAACTCATAAATAGGAAATTATGGAGTCTGGATATCTTCAATAAAAGTGCCAATAGTGTGACACAAGCCCACTCCTTTTTTTGGCCTATTTACTGGCCCAAGCTCTCATCTTAGTGTGTAAGCACTAAGGTTTCCTAAAGTTTGAGTAACGTGAGACTTCCTTTAACATACACAATTACAAATACAAAAGCTCCAAGAATCCCCAACTTGTGTGTCAATGGGAACACTATCATCTGAAATGTAATAATTAGTATAACCATTTCAAATCCGAAGTCTTTTGGACTCAAACTAGAATTTCTACTGAATGTGTCAAACAAAAAATTCAAAGTGCCTCCTACCAAACTAAGAGATATAAAAGAATTGGAAAATTCGAATGACTATTACTAATTGATAGATTATCACTTCTGTAACTATTAATTAGTATGGTCACTATTAGAGCAGGAAAATGTGTTAGGTCTGATGGCCATCCCCATCTCACCATGGGTTGGATTGGGAAAATTCCAACTCATTTAATTTGTCAAACTAGCAGGCCAACTGCCCAACTCACTGGCTAAACTACTTATTTGAATTTTTTTATTTAATTATTATAAATAAAAAGTTATTGTTTTGCATTTAATTTAAGCATAATGATGTAACACAGGGGAGAGGGAGAGGGGAGAGGGGAGAGGGAGAGAGATAAAAAAGGGAGAGAGAGAGACAAGAAGAAGAGGGAAGGCCAAAATTCTATAAAAATTCTAATAAATACTTATTAAAAACTAAATATAAATAAAAAAACCCTAGCTCTATTTATACAACTCTAAAATAATAAATATAAACACTAAATATAATTTAAAAAGATACTGATATGATGACAATATCCTATTTTTTTGAACATCAATAAATATAAGATAACCATAAAATAAAATAATAAATTCTAATTACAATAGATAAATATCCTCATTTAAATATCCCTAATAGATAATCATAATATCTTAAATAAACACTAATTATTCTAATAATAATAGTTATCCCATATTCCATCACATAACCTTTGCTTTATGTTAATAAATTGGTTTCATATATTAGATTTCTCGTTTAATTCAACACATAGCATATTCTCTTTTTAATTTTCACAAAGAAAAATTAAATGTAATTAGACGTAACTGATAAACTATACACATACTTTTGAGAGAATTTAATTTAATTATTAGTGGATCCCAAAAAAATTTAAAACTTTAGTTCAGTTCAAAAGACTAAAGTAGAAATAATTTCAACAGTGAAAAAGCCAAAGTATCTTTCACTTATTAATTTTGTTCAAGATACAAAATCATTATTTGTTAATTTACCAATATGAGTTATAAATTACATGAACTAACCTATCAATAATTATACAAAACTTGATATCAGTTATCCAATCATAAGCAGCAACATTAATTGTTAAATTATTAACTTATTAATTCATTAACATTAGTTGTAAATTACTAATAGTTCATGTAATTTACAATTAGTATTAGTAAATTAACAAGTTACCAAATTAATAACTGATGTTATTGCTTGTTTAACAAACTAATATAATTTATAACTTATATTAGTAAATTAACAAGTGATGTAAAAAATTAATAATTAATAATTTTGTATCTCGAATAAAATTATCAAGCGAAAGGTACTTTGGTCTTTTCACCGTTAAAATTATTCTCACTTCAGTCCTTTTGGGCTAAACTAAAATTTTAAATTTTTTGAAACCGACTAATAATTAAGTCAAATACTTGATTCTTAGTTGAAAATTTTTCCCTATCCTTTTCTTTGGTGCGTTTCAAATTGCTTTTGACATTAAACTATTAGAGTGAAAATGATATGTTGTTGACTCTGGAGCTTGGGGCCGGCAATAATAATGCCATATTTTTCTTTGCCTTGTTTTGAAGGACACATTGACTCATTATTTTCTAATACAATAGACTAATACATATTTGAAGGTGTCAATAAGAACTGAAAATGGAGCATAAATAGCATACTTTAAGCAAGTTAATAACCCATACAAATTTACAAAACAATTCACTACCACCAAGCCCAAAGAATGAGAAAGAGTATGTGCAAGAGGTTTCATAAATTGCTTTTGTTGGTGGCTATTGTATTGCTTGAATCAGTGATTTTTCCTCCCAATTCATGGGGAGCTACAGGTGATGAGGCTGGATGCATAGAGAAGGAGAGGAAAGCCTTGCTTCAATTTAAGGATGCTCTTGGGGATAATAATGGCCTTTTCCCATGGTCTTCATGGGGCCATGGACAAAATAGGAGAAATTGTTGTCAATGGGAGGAAGTTTGCTGTAGCAATCGAACAGGTCATGTATTAAAGCTTGACCTTCACAATGATTTCAAACAACCGTATTTGCAAGGTAAGATTAGTTTGTCGTTGATGGAGTTGCAATACTTGATGTATTTCAACCTTAGTTTTAACCCTTTTGACAATAGCTATATCCCTGAGTTTTTTGGCTATCTAACCAACTTAAAGTACCTTGATCTACGAGCTTGTTATTTAAGTAAGCAAATTCCAAGTCAACTTGGACATCTTTCACACCTACAATATCTTGATCTTAGCATTAATAATTTGGAAGGCCCAATCATTTTTCAACTTGGAAATCTCTCACGATTGAGGTATCTTGATCTCTCGCGGAATATATTTCTTGAAGGAGCAATTCCTTATAAACTTGGAGATCTCTCACAATTGCAACATCTTGATCTCTCTCACAATAATCTTGACAGAGAAATACCTTATCAACTTGGAAATCTTTCAAACTTGCAGAGGCTTTTCCTTGAAGATAATAAAGCTTTGAAAATTGATCAACAAAATGGTTATGGAGGTGAGTGGTTGTCTAGTCTTACTTCTTTGACCCATCTTAAGTTGGGGAGTATAACCAATCTCAAGTACTCTCACAACTGGCTACAAATGATTGGAATGCTACCAAACTTGAAAGAAGTGGGCTTATCAGGTATTGGTCTTTCAGACCAATATATCCTTTCATTGCCCTCTTTCAAATTCAATTCCTCCTCTCTTTCTACATTTGATCTATCTGGGAATAATTTCATGTCATCTGCAATATTCTATTGGATTTTAAATGTTAGCCCCAATCTTTTTATGCTTGATCTTCAAGGTAACAAGTTCTTAGAGGATCCCATACCATATAAATTTGGTAGCATCATGAATTCCCTAGAGAATCTAAACCTTGGTTCTAATAAGCTCAAGGGTGGATTAAAATCCTTAGGGAATCTATGTACCTTGCATTCCTTATCCCTATATGATAACCATATAAAAGAAGATCTTTCATCAATTGTTCAAACTTTGCTTCCATATGCCAAATATTCTTTGCAATACCTAGACCTAAGCAATAATCAAATCACTGGCACCTTAGTTGACCTTTCCTCATTCACATCCTTAGAGACATTTGACATTTCAAGAAATTGCTTGGATGGGACAATACCTAATAATCTTCGATTTCCCTCTTCATTGGTATCTTTACATATTTATTCCAACTCTTTAAGAGGTGTTCTCAGAAACTCCCATCTTGATGATATGCCTAACTTTAAATCTTTGCACCTATCTAACAACTCATTGGCTTTGAGATTTACCCATGGTTGGGTCCCATCATTTCAACTACAACTCATATATGTGAGATCTTGTGAGTTGGGTCCCAAATTTCCCCAGTGGTTGCTAACTCAAAATAATTTCACCCATCTTGACATTTCAAATACTGGAATTTCAGATGCTATTCCAAATAGGTTTTCGAGACAATTGACACCAAATCTCAGACACCTAAATGTTTCACTCAACAACATTTTTGGTACAATACCAAATGTTCCTATAAGATTAATACATCCATACTTTATATCTCTAGATCATAATCATTTTAATGGTCCAATTCCACAATTTCTACATAATGTGTCTTCTCTCACAATGTCAAATAATAATTTCTCTGAGCTTCACCTGTTTTTATGTGAAAATGGGCCAAGTGAAAATAGGTTAAGGATATTGGATGTTTTCGATAATCAATTATCTGGACAACTTCCTGATTGTTGGAGTCATTTCAAATCATTAGTCCTTTTGGACTTGAGTAATAACAATTTTTTTGGAGTAATTCCTAGTTCTATTGGTTATTTGCAAAGTCTTCAAATATTAATATTGAGAAACAACAGGTTTACAGAAGGTTTGCCCATTACCTTGAGAAGTTGCTCCAATTTACTAATGCTTGATGTGGGACAAAACAGATTACGAGGATCAATACCTTCATGGATTGGAATTGAATTGCATAAGTTGGAAATCATAATCTTACGAAATAATAACTTCTTTGAAAGTTTACCATCAAATCTTTGTTATTTGTCAAGCATTCGTTTCCTTGATATCTCCTTGAACAATCTATCTGGACAAATACCAAAATGCTTCAAAAACTTTACAGCGATGGCACAAGAGAGTTCTTCTGATCTAGAGGATAGCCTTTTGCAGATAGGCAATACGAGTCTATTGGATGTTTCAAATGAGTTACATGCCTTATTGATGTGGAAAGGTATTGAAAGAATTTTTAAGCATCGATTATTTTTAAAAGGGATTGATCTTTCAAGTAACCTATTAATTGGAAAAATTCCAGCAGAATTGGGAGTTTTAGTTGAAATAGTTGCTTTAAACTTATCAAGAAATCAATTAGAAGGAGAAATTCCATATGAGATTGGATGACTGACATCATTAGATTTTCTTCATTTGTCAAGGAACCATTTCTTTGGACAAATTCCTTCTAGCCTTGCTCAAATTGATCGTCTTGCAATGTTGGATTTGTCACATAACAATCTTTCTGGGAAAATTCCAACTGGCACACAGTTGCAGAGTTTTAATAACTCGAGTTATGAAGGAAATTTTGACCTTTGTGGAAGACCACTTGAGAAAATGTGCCCTCAAACAAGAAAACCTCAAGAGCTTATTAAATTTCAAGAAGACAAGGACATCATGATCACTAAAGAGTTTTATTGGAGCATGACATTTGGATTCATTGTTGGATTTTAGGGGATTTTTGGTTCAATACTTTTCAATCGTTCTTGGAGACATGCCTACTTCAAATTTGTGAACAATTTGACAGACACTATTTATGTTATGGTCACATTGAATACAACAAAGTGCAATAGGTGGCTTAGAGGTTATCTGGTAATAATTTTGCATTTCCTCATTTTTCTTCTTAGCTTTCGCGTTTGTTGCATTAATTAGTCTAATCATTTAGTGTAACCTATTAGTTTCTATCTATTCATGCTTTTAGCTTCTACAAACATAGTATTTTACTAATAACTTTATTTTTAATTATGTATGTGTACTATCTAGATCCTTCTATTTAACGTTCAAGCTTATGTATTTTTTAATTATTATTAATTACTTAAATCAGCTTAATGATGGTTATGGTGACATGATCATGGCTGCTCTTTGTCCAACAGTAAACAAAAAAAAATAATGAACGAAAAACTATTATTTTATTCATAATATGTGTGTGTGTGTGGGTATTTTTTTTTGGGGGGGTTTAAAAAACATAGTTAGTTATATGAAAGATTATCGTTATTAGAAGGGGTTTATCTTTTGTCCTTCTTACTTAAATTCGAAGAATATTAGTCTTTGCTTGGTTGAAATTAACATGATAATCATTCATATCCTTTTATTTAATAAAATTTACTTTTTTTTTGCATTGTAGTGAAATTAATATTGAATTTTTAAAAATAAAGAATTAAATAAATTATTTCCTAGTTTGTTATAATTTTTTTTTAAAAAATTAGTTCATGAAAGTGTAAGACTTAAAGAATATGTCATCACTATTTCTTAGAGACCATGATTCTTTTTGCGAAGCTTAAAAAAATTTACTACATTTTGTAGGTTTTATAAACTTTATTTTATTAATTAATGTAAGAGAAGGGAATGGTGCCAAGTCATTTTCAGGTCACGAAATTTTCCCTTTTGCTTTCTTTTCTCTTTTGCAGGGACAAATGTCTCCAAAGTCTCTCTGATAGGTTTATCTCAATTTTTCTTCCTCTAAACAAATTATTAGAAATGGAATTTAATTCTGTAACTTTTAGTGAGGGCAAATCTTGCAGGTAAAGACAAATCTTTTTACCCTTTACAACTAACAAATAACATTATTGGCCTTAAAAAAAAAAAAACAATCTGTGCTCTAACACTGGCAAGGGTGTTTAAATAATTGACCCAAGTTAATTCCTCTATTTTGTTAATTTTCATTTATAGCTTCTCTATACTCCTCTGTTAAAAAAAAAAAGATTTTAGTGTTTTAAAATATAATTAATGAATCATTTTCAAAAATGTCTTTAATAAATAATTCATTATATATGATTTTTAATTGAAATACTAACCTATTAAATAAATATAAATATAGAAAGTTAGTGTTAGTTTAAAGACAATTAATTAATTTATTGAGGATGATATTCAGTTAAAAATAACTTACATTTTTGAAAAGAGTATATGTTTTGCAAAATACAACTATGAGTATCTTCATGTTTTTTTACATGTTGCAGGACAAACCAAGGTGAACAAAGCATCTTCATGGTTGACTGATGTGCAAGACAAGGGACTTGGATTGAGAGTCTGCGGTGAAGCCATTATGTTATGTTAATTATCAGTTTTCAAATTAAATAATGAAAAGTTAAACCATGTTGACCAGGGTTTGAAATAGTATATGTACTCTTATTTTGCATTTTTTTAGTGTATAATTATAATGACAATGAATGTTATATATATCCAGGGATAATGAGAATCAAGCTTTAAATGAAAGAATTAATCACAGTTAGCTTCTTGATAAAAAATTTTGAAAATGAATTACAAATGTCAATTTAAATAATTATAAATTTAATAATTTTAATTGCAAATAGAATACTTAGATTGTAACAGTAACTCTAAGTTTATAGTCAGATTTTAATTCGCAATTATCTAAATCAATATTTATAACTTCTGGCCAAAAAGAAAATCAATATTTGTAACTTGTTTTATTTAAAAAAAAATTTGTCAAGTACTTAATTATTATTAATTTATTAATCTTTATAGAACTTTGTTGTCATCCTCTCTTATTTCTATGTTGATCTCATCAACCATCAAATTTTGGGCTCAAGTTATTTGACGCATCATATCAGGCAAACAATTGTTATTTCATTTTATCTAGTCCTTTCTCGGCCTAATTAGTTAACTGATTTATGTAAATTAAAAAAATTAAGTCTGGTAAGTATTTGTAAAAAAATCTGTTAGTTTTTCAAAAATATCTCTTCTTTTAATCATTTCCGTTAGAGCATTGTCATCATAACGTATAGATCATACAAGAATACAATTATAAATATATTTTAAAAAATATAATAAATATAGAGATAAAAAAAGATTCAGATTTTACGTTTAAGACAAAAAAGAAAAAACTCTCGATTATCTTCTATCTATATTTACGGCCAGAGGGTGTGTTTATATATATAGACTGAAATGAAACTTAAAAAAAAAAATTGTAGATTATAAATATCATTGAAGCTTATAAAAAAAATTCAATTACAAATTAGATTTTTTTTTTTTTGAGTAAAAGGGGATTCATTAAATCAAGTGAAAACTGTGCAAGTTTGCAATCAAACCATAAGAGAAATTAACACATTACAGTAAAGTAGTGATAGTGGAAAAAGAGCCTAAAGAATGATTGACAATGATTCTAATATGCGAAAGCACATCATTTTTCAAAAAGCTCTCCTTAGTGAAGATGCACCTGTTTCGGAGTTCCCATAGCTTCCAGCAAGTAATACTAATGCCAATCTTTCAGGATGTATCAAGACAAGGATTGTGTAGGTAGTCAATGAACCAAGAGCTGATAGTCTTCCTATAGAAATCAATACACATGTCTAAGGGAAGAATTTTCTTCCAGACTGATGCAGCAAGAGGACATGCTTTAAGAGAATGATTAATATCTTCAAGTGGGCTATTACAAAGGGAGTATTGCACATGTTGAGTAAATTTCCTGTGAGCTCTTTCTAAGTTGGTAAGTAATCTCCCTTTAAGCATTAACCAAATAAAGGTTCTCACTCTTTGGGCCATTAGTAGCTTCCAAACTTTAGAGTATTGCTTTGATTATTCCAATTAAGGGATTGTGAGGCCTCATAAGCTAATTTGACAGTAAAATCTCCCTTACTTGTGAGGTTCCAAAAACATGAAGGGCTCTCAAAATCATCCTAACTGATATGGATGTTGGCAATCTAATGCAAAATGCTATCAGGAAGAAGATGAGCAAAAGAATCCCATTTCCATCTCCCCTCATTATCCCTAAAGTTCCGAGATAGGCTTTGAAAGACTTTGTTCACCTATTTCAGCATATGATACATTTTTCAATGGTCCAGTATCACCAACCCAATAATCAACCAAAATCTGATGGACTTACCATTGCCTGGCTTCCACTTAACATGCATCATTGTGTCTTGCCAATTTTTGCAATATTTCTAAGAAAATGAGAGCATTTACTTCTGTTTACATCCTGTAAGACATTGCCCTGGAGCTAATACTTGCTTCATAGTACTCGAACCCAAAAAGATTTGGTTCTGCAATAATCTGTAGCCTAATTTTGAGAGGAATGCTCTATTTTGTGCTTCAAGGGATAGAATCCCACATCCTCCATTTTTAAGGGGTTGACAAAGATCCTGCCATTTAACTAAATTGATACCATGATGATCAGCTGAATGACCCCATATGAATTGACGGATGACTTTCTCAATTTGGTTGCAACAAGTGGTTGGAAAGTATGGTACTTTATATAGTGTAGAGGGGGATAGAGGTAAGGACAGACTTGGCAAGAGTTATGCGGCTAGCTAAGGAAAGAGATTTGCTCTTCCATCCAGCTAGCTTTTGGTTGAGTCTTTCAAGAATGTAGTTGTAAGTTTGAGAGCTGACCCTGCCATTAATTAAATGTACACCAAGATAGTGACCAAGGAACTCAGTACGTTGAAAACCTAAGGATTGACAGACAGAAGCACAGGTGGCAGCAGAGATGTTTCTTGAGAAATAGACTTGGGTTTTAGCTTGATTTACAGTCTGCCTACAGGAGAGGCTAAATTGATGCAACACTCTCTTAATAGCATTCACATGGGTTTCAGAAGTGTCTCCAAAGAGTATAAGGTCATTCACAAAAAAAAAAGATGAGAGAGAGGAACACCTTTGCAACCCAATTTAATGGGATGCCAATTCTTATTTGCTACTTCAGCAACAATAGCCTGAGAAAGTCTTTCCATGCACAAGACAAAGATATATGGTGATAATGGGTCCCCTTGCCTTATACCTCTCATTGGTGAAAAGGGAGGGGAAGGTTGGCCATTCCACAACACTTACATTGTAGAAGTGGTAAGACATTTCATAATGAGATTAATCAAAGAAGAGGGTAACTTAGCATCTCTCAGAGTGTCTTTAATAAAGTCCATCTTAACTTATCAAAGGCTTTTTTTAAGTCTACCTTAATTGCCATCCACCCCAATTACAAATTAGATATTACAAGTAGCAGATGCACCCATTTAGAGACATCATGGGTTATGCTAAATTTATGTTGCATAGAGATTGGCTTGTAACTGTAAATAAGATGTTAATTGAGGGTTAGTAGAGGAGGAACTCATTCAACTTTTTTACAAAGTCATAAGCTTCTGAAAACTTTTCTACTTTGCTAAATTAATTAAAATTATCATTCCATGAATTCCTTAATATAAGGAAATTTAAGATTTTTTTTAACTTTTTCCTACTTTTCTACTCTTCAACATGAATAATCTTCTTCTTGCTGAGAGCTTGAACACTATAGTTGAGATTAATATAATTAATATTGATGTATATCAAACCACTTTAAAATATTATATACATCATTTTCCAAGATATAATCAGAACTTGTAAGGTTAATTGCAGTAGAAAAGGGAGATAATAATTATATATGAAATTCAAACATAATTTTAGAAAAGGATTAATTAGATGAACTTGATCAAAAAGACTCGAGAATCCATATATTCAATAACAGCAACAATAATAATTATAATTAGGCCACTAGCGCATTTGAATTTAGCAGAAGAAGCTGGTATCTTGCAATGTGACAAACCTTAATTTCAATTCTACTGAAAAATGTATTGATCGTATTTCATATAGGATTGCATGCAATAAAAAGACACCGTAACTATGAGCAATAAAAAAAAATAATTTTCATTAGCTCGAGTCCCACAAACATTATTAGAAGGGAATTGTCCGAAACCTATGACCTAAACCATGTACCTTTTAGAAATTGTTTTTTTATTATGCACATGTATTCTTTTATTAGATACAATTGGAGAGGTTATTGGATAACAAATATAAGCGCATCTCTCAATGATTTGAAAATAGTTAAGGATGGCAATTTGGGTCAATTAAGTATCTTTTATTAGATACGGCAGGCCTAATCAGGATGTTAAGCCCATACCCAATTACAAGAATCCCAAGTGGGTTCACGGCCCAATGACATCTTTGTTTCGTTTTTTAAAAATAAAAAGAACCACCTTTTAATTTTATTTTTTAAACCCACAAATTTAAGAAATTTTGAGGTTGTTTGTGAAATGCTTTAAAAATAATCAGAAAAAAATTCATACTTTTTATTTTGAAAAATCTGGTCTGAGTAGGTCTTGGTTATGTCAAGATGCACTTGTAAATTAAAAATTATGATATTATTGCAATTAAACAAAAACAAATTTATACATATATAGTAAAAATAAATAATTTTTAAAGAATATAAAAAAAAGTTTGGCTAAAACAAATGGGCCTAAAAACTTATGGAATATTGCAAAAAAAAAAAACAAACAAACAAACGAACGAACGAACGAACGAACGAACGAACGAACGAACAAAACAAATTGCGGATAAAGAAGCAGGGTCAGTACAAGAGCCATTACTATTAATAGAACATAGCACTGTACATAGTGCTGATACATAATTTAGTGATTTGTTTCAAAATTGATATATTTTTATCTAATAACACACACATCATATATAGAGACAATTCATGAGCTTGTTTCACAGTATTGATGTAACTAGGAACCAGCTTTGGTATTTGTAGGACCATAAATCTTCGTCCAATAGCAGCATCCACATGTTCACCAAGTTTTGCAAGATGGGCCATCCTCCTTTGCCACAACTTTGAAGGGTTTGGTTGATTTGGGTTTTCTTCTTGATCAACTAATTCATCATTTTCGAACAGCTTAATATTTTTCTCATCTGAATCTATGATTATCTGCTTCAATCGGTCCACCACCTGACTCATCCTTGGTCGCTCTTTCGCGCTCTTACTCGGGCAATCATCGGCAACCCTGGCGATATCCTGCGGTCTATTGATGGAATAATTTCCATCAAGTCTTGGATCAATTATCAAGCTAAAGCTTTTGCTGTTAACAGGATGCCGTTTCACTCACTCCAAAAGTTTCTGCTTCGCCTTTGGCCGGTTTCGATCCAACGATTGCCTCCCTGTAAGAATTTCATAGAGAACCACGCCAAAGCTCCACACATCACTCTTTGTAGTGAGATGGCCTGTTTCAATGTAATCAGGAGCAGCATAGCCATACTATTACCTGATACTCAAATGTTGGTCAAGAGTTATTACACATT